ACGGATAGCGTGGCTCGCCACCCCCTAGGGACACCACCACATCAAGAGCATAGAGGGCTACGAGGAAGGAAGACAACGGGGGCATACGGCCCCGGACCAGTCACGCGTTCCCAGAGGAACCGGAAAGGAAATGAGGGCGAGCGGAGAAATGAATGCACCCCCTCCACGGAGAGGACGCCGTTGGAAGAAGAAGGCAGTGGGAGTGCATCCGCGAGCACGGTGACTGGTACGCACCCTGTGGTGGTAATCGGCCATCACCAGGATGTCATGTGCGCCAGCCCCGTTGCGGGGACCGGGCACGTCTCCAAGGACGAGGAACTGGGGAAACAAGCAGAAAAGGGAAGAGGGATGATCGGAGGTAGCGCTGCTGGACTGGCAGATAAGAAGCAACCCTTAGGGGCGAGAAGGAAGGTTAGGTGTGAGAAGGTGAGGGAGGGGAAGGAAGGGAAGGATGATCGTAGAACGAGGATTGGAGGTGAGTGTAGGAAGGTTGAGTGGTGGGATCGCTCACATGAGGAGAAGGAGGAAGAGAGAACCCCCTCTATACCAAGAGACCGGCAGATAGAGACCAGCGAGAGAGAGGAGTATAGACACGAGAGAAGGGGTGTTCCCCCCGCGTCAGAGACACCTAGGGGACGGCAAGATACGACCAGGGGTGAGGTTAGTGTAACGAGCGCTATGATACATCCCGCAGCTCTAAACACCCCCCGCCGGAGGAAGGGTAGGGAGAGAGAGAGGGCTTGCGATCAGGTGTGGGTGGAGAAGAACGAAAGATCGAATGGGAGAGTTGTAGCTGGTAAGGGAGTGGAGCAGAGGAAATGGGAAGAATGGTGGGGAAGTGGCGGGGGATTTGCCACAGCGGTTGAGAGTGGGGGGAGTGAACGACAGGAGCGTGGGCATAGAAGAGACGGTCCCCCAATGCCCTCAGAGACCCCCCATTGGAGGAGAAGTAGGGAGGGAGAAGTGGGGGGGCATGAAAGGGAGAATACCTCCGCTCTGCCAGTGACCTCCCACCGGAGGAAGGGTAGGGAGGGGGAAGCGACTGACACCCGCGGGCGCGTGGAGGAGGGGTTGAATGAGAGGTTTGAGGCTGGGAAGGGAGGAGAGATGAGGAAAACGCTGCAGGGGGGTTGCGGAGGATGTGAAGAACTTAGCATGAACACTGGGGGTGGGGTTGGGGGTGAGGCAGGGGGTGTCCCTACGTCTCCAATGACCCCCCGTCGAAGGGAGAGCAGGGAGGGGGGGAGGATTTGCACCCACAGACAGGCCGAGGGAACATCGAATTGGAGGGCCGAGACGGGAAAGGAAGAGGAGAGGGGAGAATGCGAAGGAAAGGGGGACAGGGGAGGGCTTGTTATGGGGATGGAGAGTGGGGAGAATGAGCGGCAGGAGCGTGAACATGATAGAGAGGACACCCCCACATCAAGGGAACGACAGGAGGGGACCCATAGAAAGGAAAAGGAAGGGTGCGGGCATGAGGGAAGAGATATCGCTAACGGCGAGGCAGTAGGAATGAACGGGGGGGTGCAGCTTGCGTCCCCGACCGCCCGGCACCGGAGAAGTACGAGGAGAGGAGCAATGGTTGCACATACACTTAGGGAGGTAGGATTGAATGGTGGTGTGAAGGGGAGAGAAAAGGAAGGGAGGAGATGGATGGAGGATGAGAAGGAAGGAATGGTAGGAGTAGTGGGAACACGGGTGGGAAGGAAGCCAGATAGCGCTACGGGGGAAGAGGAGGAGGGAAGTAAGGTGGGATTGCAGATGGTCAAGGAAAGGAAAAAGGCTAATGAACAGCAAAATGAGGTCCTGAACGAAGGGATGCCGCCCCCCCCTCCGGATGAACAAGTAGGACAGGGAAAGAGAGGAGGTGGGAAAGGGAGAACCAGGAACGCAACAACTTGCAAAAGAACAATCAAGAATGCAAAGCAGGAGGACTATCTGGGCCCGGTCACGAGATCGAGGAGTCGGGTGCAAAAGGCACCACTCCCATAAAAACAGCCACCCACTGATGGTTAGCCACCCTGATGAAGCCGGCAGGAGGCCGGCGAAAGCTAGGTGTTTTAATTGTAAATAAACTTGTTATAGTTTTTATCTCCTGGTGGTCTCACTGTTTGTGATTCTCCAGATATGAATTTACCCAGGAGTCAACCTCCAGTTTTTAAATTTTTTAGAGTTTTAAATCACACACACACACACACACACACACACACACACACACACACACACACACACACACACACATATATATATATATATATATATATATATATATATATATATATATATATATATATATATATATATATATATATATATATATATTTAATTTGCAATATTTGCCTGCAGATAAACGAGATGTCAGATAAATGCCAGGATGGTACACAAGCGCAGGGCTTTTTTTGTCATAGAACGCCCAGAACGGAGTTCTGGCACCTTTTTTGGATGGAACCTTATAGGGTAGGCAAGGCGGGTTGCATGACGTGGTGAGTTCCGGCACATTTTTTTTTTTTTAGAAAAAAAGCACTGCACAAGCGTATTTATAGAAAGATATAGATATTTGAACAGCCTTAAAAAAACCACAAAATAAATATCGATCCCTACACCTCACTTGAAAGAAATTTCAGCAGTCCCCATGCAGCTGAATAAAAGTCTTATTTTGTATTCTTTCTTAGAAAGAAATGATTAGATCCTCAACAACACAGTCTTTCTCAGCCCAATAGATCCAGATAGGCTGGGTTAAAATCTTTACCAGATCGCCCAGCCCCATCTTGACAGCAGATGACTGGGGAAGTTGATGACACCAAGCCTTTTTCTATAGAGCAAAGTCCGATCTGTGATTCTTTTTCAGAATCAACTCCAAGACAGGCAGGTCTGATTCTCCTACTCTCCTTGACTAGGAGAAGCAACAGGTTACCTCTGTCCCTCACTAGAAACCTCCTGAGACCATCTTAGCTCACTTTTAATAATGTTGTCAGATATTCTCAAATGCTTTCTGTCAGATCTTATGAGAACCCTCTATCTTAGATTCAAATATTATAGAACTGGAAATTGTCATAGGAATTCATCTTGACGAAAGCTGATTTCACAGAAATATTGAGCTTAATTTTTGAAAGACTGGAGATCATACCCAGGCCTAAAAGGTTTAAATTGTGTACTCTTCTTACTACAAACATTTTCCTAACATAAGAGCCTCTTATCCTCAATCCCCAAGCAATTATTTTGGGGAAGAAGATCCAAAAGGATTTATTTTGAAATTAAAAGGGAAGTGCATCTAACTACAGCCCAACCAGAGATTGTTGCCATGCCCACAGAAATTGTGCACTGTTGCTAATCTGAAAAATCAAATTGCAGTCGCAAAACTACTTAGACCGTATCAGCAGAGTCAATAAAAAGTAAATTATTAAGAGATTGTCCAACTGGTACATTGGAAGACAAGCTGTATTCACTGTCAGGAAATTTCTCCTTTTGTTCCCTTTAACAAACTTCCTTCAGCCTTTTGTGTGAATATTTCTGTGGTTTTTACTTAAGCTTGGTGCTGATTTGTTTGGATGTAACACCAAATATCGGAAGAGCTCTCTATGTCTGACTTTCCTCTTTACTTTCATTGAGAAATCATAAACTTTGATTATTCTTTTTGGCCACTAGATTGTGGTATTCAATATGATGAAAAACAAACACCTTATATCCTTAGAGATGGAATTT